CTATGGCAAAAAAAGTAAAAAAAAAAAAAACAGTCATAGGTAGAAAGTAAGGCAAAAAAACGGTCATTTAGTATATTAGTAAGGCAAAAAAAAACAAAGAGTTATCAAAAAAGTATGTGAAAAAATCATAGAGTCTGTATAGGTATGGCAAAAAAAGTAATATTTTTAAAAAAAAAAAAGTCATAGAACCAGGGTAAAAGAAAAGAAAAATACAGTGCATAGTTTCACTTAGTGGTAGTGTATGGCAAAAAGTAAAAAAAAAAAAAAAAGTCATAAGATTTGATAGTATGGTCAAAAATAGTAAAAAACAAAAAAAAGAAGTCATAGTCTTATAGAGTACTGGGCAAAATAGTATTCTTAAAAAAACCAAAAAGAGTCATAGTATAGTAAGAACAAACAAACAAAAAAAAGGTTTAAAAAAATCAGTTAGGTTTAAGGCATAAAAAGTCAAAAAAAGTCATACTTATATGTGAGGCCCAAAAAAAGTCATGCAGTTTATGTAGCTCAGTATGAAAAAAGAGAAAAAAAAAAAGAAGTCTAGATACTATAGGTATGGCAAAAAGTCAAAAAAAAAAAAAGTCATACGTTATAGAGTGAGGACAACAAAAGTTCAAAGTATATAGTAAGAGAACAGTAAAAAAAAAAAAAAGTCATATTATGGACGTAAGGCAAAAAAAGTCATGGAAAGAAGTGCATAGTCTATAATATTGTAAAAAAAAGTTAATATTATAGGTAAGCAAAAAAGTTATTGGAAAAAAGTCCATAGGTATAGTATGGCAAAAAAGTCATGGAAAAAGTCATAGTATATATGGTAAAAAAAAGTTAAAAAAAAAAAGTCATAGTTATAGTATTGGCCAAAAAAAAGTAAAAAAAAAAGTCATAGCTATAGTTATGGGCAAAAAAGTAAAAAAAAAAAGGTCATAGTTATAGGTATGGCCAAAAAAGGTAAAAAAAAAAGTCATAGTATAGTGAGACAAAAAAGTCAAAGTTATAGTAAGGCAAAAAAGGTAAAAAAAAACAAAAGTCATATTATAGTAAGGCAAAAAAGGTCATGAAAAAAGTCATAGCTATGAGTATTGGCAAAAAAAGTCATGAAAAGAGTTCCATGAGTATACGTATGGGTAAAAGAAGTTAAAAAAAAAAAAACAAAGTCATAGTATAGTAAGCAAATAAAAGTTAAAAAAAAAAAAGTCATAGTATAGTGTATGGCAAAAAAGTCATGAAAAAGTTCATATTGAGTATGGTAAAAAAGTTTAAAACAAGAAGTCATAGATATAGTTAAAATGGCCAAAAAAAAGTAACAAAAAAAAGTCATAGTATAGTAGGCAAAAAAATGTAAAAAAAAAAAGTCATAGTATAGTGGAGTCAAAAAAAGCTCATAGTAATAGGTAAGGCCAAAAAACGTAGAAAAAAAAAAGTCAGATATTATAGTCAAGGCCAAAACAAAGTTATTGAAAAAGTCAGTAGTCATAGTATCGGTAAAAAAGTTTAGAAAAAAAAAAGTGCATAGTATAGTAGGCAAAAAAGTTAAAACAAAAAGTTCACTTAGTATAGTTAAGGCAAAAAAAAGTCAAAAAAAAAAAGTGTCATAGTATAGTATGGCAAAAAAAGTAAAAAAAAAAAAGTCATAGTTAGTAAGGCAAAAAAAAGTAAAAAAAAAAGGGCATAGACTATGAGTAACGGCAAAAACAGTAAAAAAAAAAAAGGCACTAGTATAGTATGGCAAAAAAAAGTTAAAAAAAAAAAATCCAGTAGTATAGTAAGGCAAAAAAAGTCATGAAAGTCTCAGCTTATAGTATGGCAAAAAAAAGTCATGACAAAAGTCATTAGTATAGTATGGTAAAAAAAGTTAAAAAAAAAGAAAAAAAAAAGTCATAGTATAGTAAGGCAAAAAAAGTAACAAAAAAAAAGTCATAGTATAGTAAGGCAAAAAAAGTAAAAAAAAAAGTAATAGTATAGTATGGCAAAAAAAGTAAAAAAAAAAAAGTCATAGTATAGTATGGCAAAAAAGTCATAGTATAGTATGGCAAAAAAAGTTAAAAAAAAAGTCAGTATAGTAAGGCATAAAAAGTCAAAAAAAGTCATACTATAGTGAGGCAAAAAAGTCATAGTATAGTGAGACAAAAAAGTCATAGTATAGTAAGGCAAAAAAGTAAAAAAAAAAGTCATAGTATAGTAAGGCAAAAAAGTTTTAAAAAAAAAGTCAGTATAGTATGGCAAAAAAGTAAAAAAAAAAAAGTCATAGTATAGTAAGGCAAAAAAAGTCATAGTATAGTAAGGCAAAAAAAGTTATGAAAAAGTCAGTATAGTAAGGCAAAAAAAGTTATGAAAAAGTCATAGTATAGTAAGGCAAAAAAGTCATGAAAAAGTCATAGTATAGTATGGTAAAAATAGTTATAAAAAAGCATAATATAATTAGGGAAAAAAAGTCATGAAAAAGTCATAGTATAGTAAGGTAAAAAAGTTTAAAAAAAAAAAAAGTCAGTATAGTAAGGCAAAAAAAGTAAAAAAAAAAAGTCATAGTATAGTAAGGCAAAAAAAGTAAAAAAAAAAGTTATAGTATAGTAAGGCAAAAAAAGTAAAAAAAAAAGTTATAGTATAGTAAGGCAAAAAAAGTAAAAAAAAAAGTTATAGTATAGTAAGGCAAAAAAAGTAAAAAAAAAAGTTATAGTATAGTAAGGCAAAAAAAGTAAAAAAAAAAGTTATAGTATAGTAAGGCAAAAAAAGTAAAAAAAAAAGTTATAGTATAGTAAGGCAAAAAAAGTAAAAAAAAAAGTTATAGTATAGTAAGGCAAAAAAAGTAAAAAAAAAAGTTATAGTATAGTAAGGCAAAAAAAGTAAAAAAAAAAGTTATAGTATAGTAAGGCAAAAAAAGTAAAAAAAAAAGTTATAGTATAGTAAGGCAAAAAAAGTAAAAAAAAAAGTTATAGTATAGTAAGGCAAAAAAAGTAAAAAAAAAAGTTATAGTATAGTAAGGCAAAAAAAGTAAAAAAAAAAGTTATAGTATAGTAAGGCAAAAAAAGTAAAAAAAAAAGTTATAGTATAGTAAGGCAAAAAAAGTAAAAAAAAAAGTTATAGTATAGTAAGGCAAAAAAAGTAAAAAAAAAAGTTATAGTATAGTAAGGCAAAAAAAGTAAAAAAAAAAGTTATAGTATAGTAAGGCAAAAAAAGTAAAAAAAAAAGTTATAGTATAGTAAGGCAAAAAAAGTAAAAAAAAAAGTTATAGTATAGTAAGGCAAAAAAAGTAAAAAAAAAAGTTATAGTATAGTAAGGCAAAAAAAGTAAAAAAAAAAGTTATAGTATAGTAAGGCAAAAAAAGTAAAAAAAAAAGTTATAGTATAGTAAGGCAAAAAAAGTAAAAAAAAAAGTTATAGTATAGTAAGGCAAAAAAAGTAAAAAAAAAAGTTATAGTATAGTAAGGCAAAAACAGTCATAGTATAGTATGGCAAAAAAAGTAAAAAAAAAAGTTATAGTATAGTAATGCAAAAAAAGTTTAAAAAAAAGTCAGTATAGTAAGGCATAAAAAGTCATGAAAAGGTCAAGTAAAAAGAGTTTTAAAAAAAGTCATAGTATAGTAAGGCAAAAAAGTCATAGTATAGTATGGCAAAAAAAGTTAAAAAAAAAGTCATAGAATACTAAGGCAAAAAAGTAAAAAAAAAAAAAGTCATAGTATAGTAAGACAAAAAAAGTAAAAAAGTCATAGTATAGTAAGGTAAAAAAAAAAAATAGTATAGTAAGTCAAAGAATTTAAAACAAAGTCATAGTATAGTAAGGCATAAAAAGTGAAAAAACATAGTATATGAAGGCAAAAAATGTCAAAAGATGTCATATTATAGTGAGGCATAAAACTTCACAAAAAGTAATAGTATAGTATGGCATAAAAATTAAACGTCAAAAAAAGGTCATAAGTTCATGATATATTCACAAGAATGGGACAGGTGTGAGGTCACAGTGACCTTTGACCACTTGAATCTAATCAGTTTGAGTCAAGTGAAGACATTTCCTCAGTGTCCAGAGAACAGACAGACGGACAGCTTGAAATCACAACGCCTCCAGCCCCGTCTGCGACAGGGAGGAGCAGGTCGTCATGTTAAAATGTGACCAGCTGGTTGTTCAGTCAGCCATGTTGATGCTCTGTGTGTGTGTGTGTGTGTGTGTGTGTGTGTGTGTGTGTTTTCAGATTGGGGTCAGGTCATCATTCAATATAGATGAGCTGAAAGAGAGTCTCCTTTTTTCCTCTTTTACGTCCCTTTCTTCTTTTTTCTATCTGTCCTCATTCTCTTTCTCCTCCAACTATCGATGTTTCTCCTCTGTCCTCTTTTCCTCTTTCTCTTCCTAGTTTCACTCAGCATTTCCTTCATCTCCTCCTCTCTATATATTGTCTTCTTTCTCATCTTCCTCTTCACGTCATCTATCCTCTACTCCATTTTCTTGTCATTTTTCTCTTTAACCCGTCCCTCTCCTTTTCTTCTCCTCCACATATTCCTCCTCCATCTCTCCTTTTTACCCACTTTCTCCTCCTATTTTCTTTCCTTTATTCTTCCCTCCTCCTCCTCCTCCTCCTCAAGGTTGATTTGACATTTGCTGACAGATCTATTCAGGTCATTTCAGCAGTGAGAGTTTTCTGACCTTCATTTTTTTTTTGTTGTGTGTGTGGTTTAGTTTTCGTTACCTTGGCAACGTCCCACATGTTTGATGTCGATCTTGAGCTGTTTGAGGCAGGACGCCTCTCGGACGTGGCAGGGCGTGTCGTAGGTGACACCGTCGCCGCCGCACACCGGGTTGTCGTTGTGGCCGTTGCACACGATGTTACACATGCAGCTGGACACACAAACACAAGTACACACTGAGCTGTGTAGCAGGGCATGTTCTACTCATCATACACTCCTGGGACTTCCTCTGTGGATTAGGCTTTTATTTTGAAGGGTTGCATTTTTTGCTCCTTACATAGTGGATGTGACTTGACTGTGATACTTTTGACTCGGAGGTTTGTTCGTAATACATAAACACTGTTTCCATGGTGACTGATGGACTGTAACACTGAACACACCTGACCAGGCTAATCTGGAGGGATATATTTCCATGGTAACTTAAGTCAGACTTATTTAATGTAATGAGCCTAAGGCTGGTTAAACTGGTAATTTATGAAACTCCACATTCACACAATGGTGGATAAATCTCAAAACAATGGTGGGTGTGTGTGTGTGTGTGTGTGTGTGTGTGGACACTCACAGTGTATCCTCAGAGTCTTCGTCACACTCGGCTCCAAACTTGCAGTTTCCACATTTCGAGGCCTTTTTACCGCGACCGGAGCCTTCATCATCTGCAGAGACAAAACGTCACGACAACACGTCCCATACATTTTATATATACATGTGTATATATATATATACACACACACACATATACCGTATTTTATAGTTTACATCGCATTAGAGAAAGTAACTATTTTATAAAGTATGAAGCTGTACCTCCGTCTCCAGATCCCGAACCAGCGTCTGACAGAGACAGAGACGTTATGAGGTTATTTGTGGACAGGAAACAACCAGAAAACATCAGCTGCAGGTGATTAAATCAACTCGTCTCTAAAGTTTCAATAGAAACTGAAACCGTCCTGAAGGAGGATTAAACACACGACTGTTGGACCAGACTGAATTTTATTTCTAATAAAACAATAAATCGTTGTTGTGGATAAATTTTTATGTCGGTCAAAAGCACGGATGCAGCCGTGTGTGTGTGTGTGTGTGTGTGTGTTACCGTGGTAACAGGGTCCCTCTGACATGATGGTGATGGCTCTCTGCTTCTTACAGGCGGCTCTCCTCAGGAAACACTCGTTCTGGTACGTGTCTCCGTTTGACCCACACACAGGGACGTACTTTTTATGGCACTGCAAAACACACACACACACACACACACACACACACACACACACACACACACACACACACACACACTTTATGAAGCTATTCGCGGCAGATATTAATAATTCAACCATCACTTATTAATTCTCTTGTTGATTAAAAGCCTCCAAAAAGTTTTTCACAGTAAATGAAATGGAATGAAATGTTAATTAATTAATAGAATCACCTTCTACTGTCCACAGGTAGAGTGTCTGTCAATCAAAGGCCTGAGCCCGCCTCTAAAGCAGGATCTCATGACCCAAGTTTAAACTCAACAGATAAACTTTCGTGGCAGCGACATTACAAGTGCTCAAAGTCAAGTCAGCGAAAATGGCTTTGTAACCATGGTAACACTATCCTGTTTGGATGTGTGAGGTTGTAGCTGGTGATGCTGTGTGTGTGTGTGTGTGTGTGTGTGTGTGTGTGTGTGTGTGTGTGTGTGTGTGTGTGTGTGTGTGTGTGTGTGTGTGTGTGTGTGTGTGAGAGAGAGTGTGTGTGTGTGTGTGTGTGAGACTCACGTGGAACTGGCAGACACACTTGATGTCAGCTCCGTTCTCGCGGCAGCTTCCTCCAAAGCGACACGTCCCGGCGTCGCACACGCGCAGGTCGCTCTTCTTCTCTGACAGATCTGAAACGTATCATGACACAGAGCGGTGGCGCCATCAGCAGGAGAACGAAAGAATTTATTTCATGATACAATATAGATATAAATGTCCTTATATCTGCTTATAACTAATGAGTTAAACAATCTGTGTTTACAATCTGATTGTTAATGTTCAACAGGTTCATTAATATAAACTCGTTAAGGATTTTAACAAAGCTGAGCCTGAACCAGAGAATCCTTCTGATCCGGATCAGCACAGAACCAGAGAGTCCGTCCTACAGATGTGCAGATGTCTCAGTGCGACTAACACACACACCACATGAAACACACACAAACACAAACACACACACCACATGAAACACACACACACACACACACACACACACACACACACACACACACACACACACACACACAGCAGCAACAATGCAGACCTACTGACAAACACACAGAGACACACTATTATCCAGGGCAGTAATTTAATGATGGCAGCCGATTGGTCGGCAGCCCTGCAGGCCAGCCAATTAGAACTGGTAATTACAGGGGTCGTGACCCCCGCCTCCTCTGTAATTACTAAATACCTCAGTGTGCTGAGGCAGCCAGAGCAACCTGCTGACACACACACACACACACACACACACACACACACACACACACACACACACACACACAAAATACCAGAAACACTGTGTTCCCATGATCCTCTCTGTCTGCAGAATCAATGTCTGTTGTTGTGTTTAACCCGACTCCTGATATCACTGCTCGAGACTGAAAGTGACCACAGCCTTCCCCACCGACAGCGTCCTGACAGACTCCGCCTCAAACTGGGTCAGTGTCGGAAAAACCTGTCAGCTCACATCCACATCCTCGTCTGGAGAGTTTGAAACGTCTCCCCGAAGACAGACACACACACAGACACACAGACACACACACACACACCTTTTTGGACAATGTTTGGTTGCTATAGTTACTAACTTCTCATCTGACAGCTACAGGTTGCATCGGGAACCAATTACAGCTTGTTTACAGAGCGTGACAGATCTGCAGAGACCTGGTCCCGGAGGCTCTGAGGGGAGTTACAGTGAGTGAAGCCTCCATTTACACACTGACAACACTAAACACAACCTGGACACAGCTGTTTGTCACCGTGAGCACGATACGGAAACTACAAGGCTCCTTCACTGAGGGACTTACTTCAGGTTTTAGTGAAGGCATTTGCAGCAATAAAAGAGATTTTACAGCAGTAAAATTTTACTGTGTCGTTAAGGGAGTCATGGAACATCATCATCAACTTCCTGGGAGTTGTCGATTTCTTCATTTATAACCATAAACTCAGAGATGTTGCAGTTATGATACTGTCAGAGGAACCTTTACTTTGGTTGCTAAGGTCTTTTGTGCAACAGTGATTCATTAAACACAAGACTAAGATAAGGAAGAAAATACTTAAGTGAACATTTTAAGGAAACCTTCAGGATGAAACTTGAGGTGTTTTGTGCACCTGCCCTTGTGAACATCCCAGATAGTAAGAATCAAACCTCTGGCCCAGAATGCACCACGGTTCCAAGTCTGGTCCATATACCTCACATCTGGGTAGATTCTGGTGTTGGCTAACAGCTGGAAGATTTTCTGTGTGTGCACCAGAATTGGTCCAGGCAGCATCTGACGACCATGCTGTTTACGGACCAGACTTGGGCCGATGGAACCAGGCGTACACTGGACCTGAGTGTGGGGATCATGTGAGGACGTGTGAAGACTGAGAACAGGACCACTGCTCACATCTGGACCGGAGACAGTCCTCCGCCCCAGACCTCAGTCCTCAAACCCATTTTACATTTCTGCTTCTCTGGGGATTAAAGACACAGGTGAGTCTGGACTAAGCCAGGCTAGCTGTTTCCCCCTGCTTCCAGCCTTTATGCTAAGCTAAGCTAACCAGTGAACACACGTTGAACTGTTCCTTTGAGAGTTTCATCAGGAGCAGTGACGAGGAGAGTGAAGCTGATCTGAGGCCAGTGACTGAAGCAGGTCAGCCTCCAACTCAAGTGGAAGAACATCACTGACCTCCTCTCTCTCTCTCTCTCTCTCTCTCTCTCACGCTCCAATGACTTCATCGTCTCGCTCCTTGTTTTTCTCTTTCCCCTCCATCCCCGTCTTTAAAACTGCCTCCAGCGTCAGGAGCAACACTGACTGCAGATACGATACATCGCCAAAAGTATGTGGACAGCGGCTGCCTCCACTCCTCTGGTTCCAATAAAATCACAATAATAAAATAATAATTTTGAATAATAAAAAAGCTCCATATAAAACAAACAAATACATCATTCAGTTACTATTAGAAACGTTATTCTTCATATATGTTGAATTGTTTTACAGTTTTGCATGTTCAGCTGTGAAATACTGTGACACCAGTAATTAATCATTAATTAAAGAGTTAATGAGAAGTAACAGGTTCGTTCTTTAATTACTCAGATTAATGATTTTAGAGGAGAATTTGTCACATTCACCAAATTTTCTCAAACTTCACATTTTCTCAGGTTCAGTCCGACTTCATCTGAAACATCTGTGGTTTAAAGGTCAGGCAGAGATGAACTTATAATGAAATGTGAAATATAAAACAAAGAATGAATATTCTGTTCACCGTCATAATGGCTGAATGGAGGATTTCAGAAACTCTAGTTCACATTTTTGTGAATGAAACTTTCCGACAGACAGAGCAGAGCGAGATATCTACAGAGGAGTAATGCATTCAGAACAATTCTGCTGTTCTTCTGAATTAAGGAAACACTTCTGAAAGTTCTGAGATTTCGTTAATTAAGAAAAACTTCTCTGAATCTGAATTAACAACATAATTATCTGAGAAGTCAGAGAAAACTGTTCTTATAAACAATCCACTTTTTCCCCACGTGAATCTGTTTCGCTTCTGTAGATCTGTTCTGCTGATAATAAAATCTAATGTGATCGTGATCAGGGATTTATGAGAAGGTTTTGCGGTTTAGTGAATCTGATGTCAGAAAAAAAACTGACATTTATTTTCTCTATAATTAGAATCAAATTATATGAACCTGTAGGAAATCATTTGTAAAGTACGGACCTGTACGATGAAACTAAGAGTTTCAAACCAGCAGAAACAGAATCACGTACATGAGCCAAATGTTTTCCTTCCAAATCAATGTGATGAACCTGATTCAGCAGATGAAGTGAAGAGTTTAGATTTGTACTCTGTAGTTTTACTGCTGGTTTATCTCCCTGTTCTCAGGCCGAATCAAAGCTTCTGCTTTCACTCGCTCATTTAAACACTTTCTGCCGTGCGACAGCTGAAGGAGTCTCGAGCTCATGAATGACAAACCGCTGAAGAAGAAACGGAGACAGAGTGGAGCGTCTTCCCGGGAGAACATCTGTGACTGAGCTGAAGTGGGCGAGCACGTTTTCAAAAGAGTTCAACGCGTCTGAAAATAGAAATCAAAGATTTTTTCTTCCGTTAGATCCTTAAAAAGCTGAAAGCTGCGAGACAGGTTTTCCCTGATCACCGACTTATTTTAGTTCAGATTCTACATTTAGATCAGAGCCTGAAACCAGCCAGTGAAGAAGACGACATGTCTGAGCTCTTCTTTTCTTATCGCCAATAAATCACCAAAAATAGTGTTAGTCCGTCTCTTTACTCTTCCCTCCTCTCTCTCCTCTCTCAGCTCTGAGCTCATTGGTTCCTCCTGAAGACGTGAACCTTTAAAAACACTTTCAGTTTCAAAAAGGCTCAGTAATCTGCTAAAATTTGATGCATTTGTTTGGGACTATTTTCAGCAGCGGATTGATCTTCAAAGATCTTTTTCCTCTTCTTCTTTTGGACTGAAGACTATTTAATAAATCTGGAGCGAATCATGATCAAGAGGACTCTTTTTTTTTTTATTTGAAAACGAAATAAATCATTTAAAGCAGCTGAATTTCAGATTCTTTGGTTGTTTTTTCTTCTGTGATTCATGAATCGTTGGCTGCAGCTTGTCGTTTCACCTGGACTCACAGACTAACAACGTCTCTTCTAAACATTTGGTCTATGAAAATCTTAAACGCTCACGTTGTCGTCAGACGTCCACAAGCCAAAGATAGAAGAAGTGCAGTTGTTACCACAGTTCACACCCTCCTCTGTCTGTTCACACTCACTAATATTTAACTGTTTAATAAAGCACTGAAACTAAGGACTATTTTCATTTTTTAACTAAACTCTTTTTTTTTTAAAACCAACTTTATTTAAACACACGGACGATAAATCTTCCTTTAACCACAAACCAGTCTGAAATGTTGAAATAAGATGTACGCAGAGTTTTTAAATTACATTTATGTATAGATTATGATGATGATGATGATAAAGATGATCAGCTCGTTCTTCATCACGACTCCTGACTGATGAAAGAGGATGAATCTATATTTATGGATCTGAGCTTCAGTCCATCAGACAGAAACAGCTGCTCTGATGTTTCTACATGTATGTGGCTCTGCTGTGGTTTTAAATGCTGCTGCAGCAAGGCATTGTGGGACGTCATGTTTCCTTTCCTTTGGTAAAGGAAGCTCCAGTGTTTCCTAGAGGTGAGAGAGGAAGTGGTGAAGCTCCTTTCCTCACTCTGATCATGAAGATCTTTTCAGTCTGACCCTTCAGGAGAGAAACTCCGAGGCCATGATGTTTTACGACACGTACGTCAACGCGCAGAGCTCTGAACGTTCCCGGATAGTGAACTCCAAACGATGGACACTCCTCACCATCGACGGTCGCCATCTTGGCTCCGTAGTGGAAAAGGAGGGACCACCAGTGGAATGGCCGCTGTGTCGTCACATGACACAAGGAAGTTAAACGTTCATTTTCAAGTCACGTGAGAAAAGTATTTTTAGAATTTTAGCAGGCGACAATTAAAATGTTGTGATTGTTATTTCCTGTGAGGGCACAGCGGCCATGTTTGATTTGGGACAACACCACACTGTTGACACACACACACACACACACACACACACACACAAACACACACACACACACACTTCTTATTGGTTAAAAGACAAATATAGAGCACCAGACTTCTCCTTTAAAGTTTGAAGTGCATGTGGTTCCAGTTTGATGTATCCATGAGTACATATACATATAGGCTGAACACACACACACACACACACACACACACACACACACACACACACACACACACAGGGTACTCCGTCATTTAACCTCGCCCTGGTTCTCCACCCTGTAATTAACCCTAAAATAGAGCAAGTTAAAGTGAGGAGTGGTCAAAACACACAACCACACATATACACACACACACACACACACACACACACACACTGACATATGGAGGCCTTGAACCGACTCACACACACTTCAATGAGCAACATGGCTGCTTCAGCAGGTCCAGCCCTCCGACCCCCTCCCCCCGCACAGGTGCTGTTGCTGACTCCATGTTTCCGTTGTCATGACGATGGCATCAGTATAAACCGGTGATCTGATGTCAGGTGTCAGTGGATGGACGACCGCAGCAGAACCAGGAGTCACACTGTGATGCTCCATCTCCATCACCATCAATCTCCAGTTCATCCTGCTGCAGTCGTCATGACAACAGAAACACAAAGATGGGTGGATGACAACAAATGGATCACGTGATCAGCTGCACTGAAACACTCAATAAGAGATGGCAGAGAATGCATAAAGATGACTGTGACCTCTGACCTCCACATCCTCAAACCTCCAGGCTGAACTCAGATCAGCCTCAAGCAACAGAAAACACCCCCCCCCCCCACACACACACACACACACACACACACACACCTTCAGCCTGAGGTGACACGTTCAGGTGTAAACAGGCTGTGAGTGTCTCACCTGGGCAGTCGGCGGCCTTCCCGGTGCCGCACTCCGCGCTGCTGCTGCCTCCGCTGCGGGGGAACGAGCTCCGGACGGCGGCGGGGAGAACCAGCAGAACCAGGAGGCAGCAGAACCACGAGAACCGGCACACTGGAGCCATGATGGAGGACGGGAGGAGGGAGAGATGGAGGGATAGACCCAGACAGAGGGGAGAGGTAGAGACTGAAAGGTGAGGGATAAAGGGGAAGATAGCGATAAATGGAGGTGAAGAGAGGGAGATGGAGAAGTACAGGAGGCTGATAGAGAGATAGGGCAGAGGTGTACAAAGAGATGGATGAGTAGAAACAGGAGAAAAAGATAAAGGGAGAAAAACAGAAATAAAAATCTGTTTTTCTGAGGATCCTCGGGTCAGAAACACTCCGCGGAGAAAGAAGAATAACGAGTTAAATCCTGCCTCCCTCCATGTGTTTCCCTCCTCTCTGAAACTCCCTCAGTTTCTCTCAGGGAGAAGCTTCATGGTGAAACAGAAACACGCTGGAAAAACCCGAGGAGGGCTGCAAAACGAAGCCCGGGATAACAAAGCAAAGCAGGGCCTGGGGCTTCACACAGCGACCCCCCACACCTCCGCCACCCCCTAAAACCAGTCTGCTCACAGCCCGGACTGAGCCTCCATCCCCCAGCCCCCGCTGCCTCGCACTCAAACCGGCGGGGAGAACCGCGGACCGCCGCGGAGAAGAAGATCCAGGTGAAAATCCGAAGCGGCTTCCAGCAGCATCCAGGCCGAAGCGGGGCGAGTGTGCGCCGGGGAGGACGGACGGATGCGGTCGGTCGTTCGATCGGACCTGGACTTTTTTTTTTTTTGTCCTCCTGTGCGTTCTCCACTGATTCACATCAACAAAGGCCTGGACCACGTGACCCGCAGGAGACCACTCCCACAGAGACAGAGTCATATATCGCTGCATGCCTCTTGCTCCTCTGTAGGTTGCTCTAATTAAAAGCCTCGTGCTGCAGCTGTGTGATCCACCAACCCGCCAAACTGAGTCATTAGTCCAAACATTAGACTTAAATGAAGACACACATCTGTTGTTTCTAGGCAGATTTGATCAACTCATATACACTGTGTGAATAATTTGATTGATGATTAATCCACGTTAAAAAAGTAAAAGTTCCCATTTGGAAATGTAACATGACATTTTGTCTCTATATCAAGAGTGATGTGGATATATTATTGTCACATATATACATCCTCTGGATATATGAAGATATAAGTTTACAACATATGAAAAACCCATGGTTAATATAACATATCTATATGATTATTTTTTATATGATATAACATGTTGCGACCATATATGTTAATGATATATATTATATATATGCAAGTTTATTAAAACAACACAAGTATTAAAATTCTATTTGTTTTCTTGTTGATTTCTCATTAATTTTAAACATGTCTGTCTCTACTGTTTATAATATCAACACATACTGACAGGCTTTGGGATGGATATATATTTATGTAACATGTCTACAATATAAGCATATATATTTTTTTGTATGGGCTAGATATATATGTCAAATTTCTAATTGGTTTCACATATAAATTTTAGATATGTGCTTTTATTTCATATTTCCATATATTTCATATATGGCAATTCAATGTGTATATATCATATTTGCATACAGGCACTACATTTATTTGACAAGTATTTTGATCCTGTGCAGTTTCTCCAGGATCTTGTGCAGATATCATCAACTTCTATTTCACATGTTTTCACCTACAGATGTTTTCAAATGACAAACACAAGGATTTCTACATGGGTAATAATCTGCAGCAGCCCGCAGACACCTGTAGGTGTGGGTACCTGCCTGACAACATTCAAATCCACCAATGATCCAATTTGATCTTTTTATTATCTGCAGCGGTGAATTCAGTCACTAGAGGGCGGAATACCACTGTTGAACAGACCCTTCACTTCAGCAACAGCAACAGCATCACAAAGTCATCCTGCTGAACTGAACGTTTTATCAGCTTCCCCTGGTATCACAGTAAAAGCACTTCCTGTAGTCACAGTATCACAGTAAAAGCACTTCCTGTAGTCACAGTATCACAGTAAAAGCACTTCCTGTAGTTACAGTATCACAATTAAAGCACTTCATGTAATTAGAGTATCACAGTAAAAGTACTTCCTGTAGTTACAGTATCACAGTAAAAGCACTTCCTGTAGTCACAGTATCACAGTAAAAGTACTTCCTGTAGTTACAGTATCACAATTAAAGCACTTCATGTAATTAGAGTATCACAGTAAAGGTACTTCCTGTATTTACAGTATCACAGTAAAAGCACTTCCTGTAGTCACAGTATCACAGTAAAAGCACTTCCTGTAGTCACAGTATCACAGTAAAAGTACTTCCTGTAGTTACAGTATCACAATTAAAGCACTTCATGTAATTAGAGTATCACAGTAAAGGTACTTCCTGTATTTACAGTATCACAGTAAAAGCACTTCCTGTAGTCACAGTATCACAGTAAAAGCACTTCCTGTAGTCACAGTATCACAGTAAAAGCACTTCCTGTAGTCACAGTATCACAGTAAAAGCACTTCCTGTAGTCACAGTATCACAGTAAAAGCACTTCCTGTAGTCACAGTATCACAGTAAAAGCACTTCCTGTAGTCACAGTATCACAGTAAAAGCACTTCCTGTAGTCACAGTATCACAGTAAAAGCACTTCCTGTAGTCACAGTATCACAGTAAAAGCACTTCCTGTAGTCACAGTATCACAGTAAAAGCACTTCCTGTAGTCACAGTATCACAGTAAAAGCACTTCCTGTAGTCACAGTATCACAGTAAAAGTACTTCCTGTAGTTACAGTATTATTTAGTCCACTGGTTCCCAACACAGGGGTCGGGCCCCTCCAAAGGGTCACCAGATAAATGTGAGGGGTCGTCACATGATTTGTGGGAAAGAAGAAGAAAGTTCTGATTCACTGATTCACACTGAACATTTCAGGTTTCTTTGTGCTTCCATGCTCATTCCCAAAGTTACAGTCAAGAAACTGACACACAGAAATTCATGGTCTTTAATTCATACACACAGAAATTGTATAACAACATATTTACACGTATCAGTCACAAACTCTTGGTGTCACAGCTTCATTCTCCACGTCGGCCTTTAAAATGTTGAGTGTTCAGTCGCAGCACAATTAGACCAACATCAATTATCAACACTGCTGCTTCTTTTATCAATAATGCTAATGCTAACGTCACACGTCTCGTGTTTCTTACCACAGTCAGTCTTTCTTTCTTTCCTCTGGCCTGTTTCTAATGTTTGACAGTGTGATATTAATGAATGAATCATGTGGAAGGACTGAAGCGTTCAACGACGCAGAAACAAAACAAAGAATTTAAATTGATTTTATTCAGAATTTACATGACAAAGAACAAACAGCAGCTTCTGTTTGAGTGTGAGGTCAATGTTCAGCCCGAGGACATTCTCACTGATAATGGTGGACAATGATAATCATGTGACACACACACACACACACACACACACTATATTTAATCTCATCCTCGGGTCCGGGTGTTTTGCTTTAAGCCATCTGGGCTAATTAGTTTACTCTCCTCTCTCCCCCTTCATTCCTAATCTCCGCTCCTCTTCCTCTCATCCTCCTCCTCCTCCTTCTTCTTCCTCCTCCTCCTCTTCCTCTCTCAGTGCTTTGAGGTTGAATTCACCTTGAACTGACGGATGAACATCAGCAGACGGAGGAGTGAAGCGGAGCAGCTGCTGTGTGGAGCTCAAACTTTCTGAAGATGAGATTATAAATTACAGTGAAAGAAAATTCAATTCATTATCAATTAAAAGAAATTTTCTTGACAGAACTGCTTCATCTAAAGTAAATATTCCTTCATGATAAATTTATGATCAGACTTTAGTTTGTGAACAGATGATTATGTCTGAACACGTTATTACGATGAGGTGTTATTATAAATGTTTTGCTCATGTTTTCTTTCTGCTTTCCTATAAAATTCAGTCCTGAATTCTTAATGTGATGTAACAGCCTTTTGTTTTCCATTGCCCCCCCCCCCCTCCATTATTTTCCACTGAAAGCTCTCAGTCAATTAACCTGATTCCACCTGCAAACACAGGCAACACGTCAAGCAGCAAGCAGGAAAAAACCTGTCGTCCTCAATCCTGAACTGACGGAGGAGGAAAACACCAGAGCAAGGAAGTTACTCTCACTTACAGCTGATGTGTTTCATCGAGGAGGCGTGATGCAGCCCAGATCAACACAACATAATCAATCAGCCAATCAATCAATCAATCAACAACACAGCTCTTTTCATACAGGTGAGTGCGGCTCAAAGAGCTTCACAGACTCATGAGCTAAAGAGAAAAAGGACAAATCAAGAAAGAAAGCTGACGATTAGATACAATAAAAAAGCTAAAACAAATATGAGAAAATAATAATAAAAGATAAAAAACAATAAAATACAATAATAAAAGAACAGATAAAATAGAATAGTCCAGTGTTCCCGCTCTTTCAGCTCTGTGTTTGGTCTCCACCAGCTGCTGAGCAAAACATCTGGCTCTTCAGCTGCTAAGGACAGATGTGACACAGGTGGGACACAGGTGGGACACAGGTGGGACACAGGTGGGACACAGGTATCGGCTGCAGCTGGTGTCAGACTCCTGCAGGTGAGGTGAGTCCAGATCACGACTGTTTGTTTTCTCTGGTTCTGGTGGAAGTGAGTTTGTTGACAGACCTGACTCATAGTTCTCTCTCAACCATACACTTCCTGGATGTGGTGATGTCATCGCCCGCTCTATTTGACATTGTCCCATTGGTCGAGGTGTTTTCGCAACCGATAACACAGATAAGGTGGTGTGTGTGTGTGTGTGTGTGTGTGTGTGTGTGTGTGTGTGAGTGTGTGTGTGAGTGTTGTAACTTGTTGAAGATGACATGCTGAGACACTGCACCTGTCACACTGATGAATTAATCTGGGAAACTGTTTCTGTGTGTGTGTGTGTGTGTGTGTGTGTGTGTGACTCATCTGTTAATCTGCTTTCTGTGAAGAACTCAATATAAACTCACACAGAGTTTCAGGACCCTCTTACAACAGGGGTTTTCCACCGGTGGTGGTCTTTCCACCCCCACCCCCCCCCAGACCTGGTCCTCAGGTTGCCCCTGCTCCACTGGACCAGGGGCAACAAGGACCCAAGTTAACTGATCATCTCATTTCCAACAACTGTCCCCTTGCCCCTGGCAAGTTGCCCATGATGCTCAGTTAGTGTTGCATTCAATGACTGTGGCTGTTGAAGTTTATCAGCCGGGATTTCTATGGACATGTGTCCAGACACGTTACAGCCGCAGCAACGATGACACAATGTAAACACTTAAACCAGTGTAATGCTGGCCCCCGCCCTGTTGTGAAACCCGGGGCCGCTGCCAGGAGGCGACTTGGCGTCGCCAACATGCACTTTGTTCCTGTACATCAAGAGTAGAGCAGACCATGAAAACATCATGTAAATCAATTGAAGGGGTACTTCCTGTTTTCAGAAGGTGGCGCTGTGACTATGACGTCATATTAACGTGCAGATGTCTTCATGTGGGGCTGTCATCAAACAATGTATATTACAGTTATAACAACTTCCTGTTTCATGGCGAATTATTGAAATTCGCCACGCCCCCACGGGCAGGTCCTCCAGTGAAAACTCAAACGCTTCATAATTTAGCGTCGTAAAGGTCTGAAGGTGAGACTGACCAGATATAGTTTGCTAAAGTACGACGTCTTTAAATCATAAAAATGACGCCGAAATTGCAGAGTAAATTCAAAATGGCTGACTTGACTCACTGACATTTTCTAGGGGGCGCTATAAAATAATAGGAAACCCTCACACCCTGTGGTTCTCAGGACCTAACAAGTCCTCAGCCACCTGGTTGTTCTGGTCACCAGGTGAACAGAACCAGGTGTGCAGCTCCACCTGAGCTCACTCAGGACCCGCCTGCGAGGTGTTTCTGCCCGGCGACAGGCTGTCAGCTTCTATTCAGGACAAATCAGGGACAAAATCCATTAAGGGACTTTTCTTTTCCTGCGTCCACAGAAGCGAGCGGCTGCACACGGACGGATTTGAACTAAACAACAGAAAAACACACACGAAGCAGAGACGAGGCTTTAATTATGGATGCAGAGGGAGGAGGAAATCAGTCTGAAGGAGTCAGAGTGACGAGTTAAAAAGGAACCTGATGGATGATGTGAAGTCGAGGACAAACACGACAAGAAACTACAGAAGAGAAAAACTCTTTTAATCCATCAACATCCAAAACATCTGGATGAAAACAACTGATGAGAGGGAACAGCAGCACCACCTTCATCAAAAATCACTCATGAAAATGTGTTGGTCGCAGGTTCCTGAGCTGAACCTGAGCTGGCTGTCGTCATGGCGACAGAGGAACATGTGGTCTGATATTTGTTGAGGCGGTTTGTGAATCTCTCTCTGTTCATGTGTCGATGTTTCAGTCGTTGTTTTCTCCTGTTTGCGGGGGGGGGGGGGGGGGGGGGGGGGGGGGGGGGGCATAATGAACATCACACATACACACAAACTAATATTTGATGATGTCTGTTTAAATGAAAACACAGACCTGAGCTGAGCCACCAGGGGGCGCCGGACCCGTCTCTATCTGTGGACACAGGACACAACATGAAAATACAACCGAGACAATTAAAGGCTGAAAGATTAAAACATATATATGTGGAATTATTAATAAATCCATTAACCTCTGGAGACCGAACACACTGAGCATGTTTTATTAATATCACTTTATTTAGAGAAACGCTAAGAAAACGCTGATGTGAGATTTTAACACAGTGAAAGAAATTTAATATTTAAAACAGTGAATTATTAATATTTTCAGTCTTTTACTGACAGACACAAAAACAGCTGTTCACATGGAAACACACTGTAGGGTCGTTTCATGTCTGATGTTGGTCTGTGCGTAAATATAATTAACAACTCTTCTATAAAGGTAGAGGTGGAGGAAGGAGGAGAGGACTAACTCAGCTTTATTCTGCTCTTAACAGTTCTATGTGCATCAACAGACTGTCACATTCACACCTGTCCCCCTGCAACAACGGCAGGTGGGAACCAAAGTGCTCCACACTAAAGGTTCGTAAATAACCAACTTAAATGTTACACCTACAAATTATATCTGTGATGTGATATGTGTTTATAATTATAAAGTACTGCAACTGATAATGAAATTATATAATAAACTCAATGAAGTGAAATGAATTAATAATATAATAAACTCAAACAATATTGCAACGCAAATGAATATGGTGAACTCATAATTAAAATAAACCAAATGTTTACAATAATTAAGGTTACATATCCAACATGGTGCCAGTGATTTCAAAATAAACTGCTCTGTCATTTAGCTTTTAATTAGATTTAAATGATTAAAGTTGTAACTTTAATTGTTTATTTGTGCAGCTTTTATATTTGCAAACCACGATGTTTAGTTCAAGTGACTTAATTCATGTGAATGATTTAATGAAGGTTAAACAACTGATTTGAAGTGAAATCACAGATAAAAACAAATCAGTTTGACTCTAAATGGATTCATGTTTGTGAAGTGAGAGAGAGAGAGAGAGAGAGAGAGAGAGAGAGAGAGAGAGAGAGAGAGAGAGAGAGAGAGGAGGAGGAGGAGGAAGAGGAGAGGAGACAGAGACGAGAGAGAGAGAGAGAGAGAGAGAGAGAGAGGTGTGGACTCAGAGGAGGAGTGTACCTCTGCAGAGTCTCACCGGCTCCACCAGGAACCGTCTCACAGCTTCAACACTTCGACCCTGGACCCTCCTCCTCCTCCTCCTCCTCCTCCTCCTCCTCCGCTGCAGCTCATGGAGGATCCGTCTGTCCGCAGCCCGTAGAGAGACACCAGCCGGGGGGACACCAACTGAAGACAAGCCGCAGACATGAGCTTTTTCTCCGGAGGCGGAGCGGCGCTGCTGCTGCTGCTGCTCGGCCGCTGCTGCTGCACCAGTCCCGGCAGGAGAGGTAGGTTTTGGGATCCCTTGAGAGCTCCGGGGTGAGAGCTCCGGGGTGAGAGCGTGTCGGTGCGGGAGGGAGAGCGCGAGAGTCCCGCGGTGAAACTGTCCTGTCTGAAAAAGTTTAGACGTTTTTTCATGGTTTCTGAACTTTGACTTCAAGTTTCACATTTAATAGTTTTAATAGAAAAAGGTTACTACAGGTCATTCTGGGAAATAGAGAATAAATAGACACAATGTGAAGAAAGATCGATACTTCATGTTTAAAGTTACAGTAAACTATAATAAAAACACTGAATGAATGTAGTGAACTGAATATCATTATAATAACAACATTCAGAGTATGATCATCACTATAAATCACGATCAATATGACAGGTATATCATCGAAATGTTACAGATATATATGAATATTAAGGTTTATCACAGAAAAGTGTCATTTAGTTTTTATAGTCTTTAAATAAAGTTTATAATGAAGCAAGAATATTACAGGAGTGTAATTAATTATGATTATGGAGTTAAAAGAGCCATAGTCACCACTGAGAGCTATAAAAACAACTGATGTGATCTTCAGAAGCTCCAGGAATATCATAAAGATATGATTTTTAATAAAAGTAAAAGTGTCATTAATATAATTATAAATAAACTGCAGTATTATCAGAATGTTATAATGTTTTTGAGAATCAGAAAACACCATGAACTGGTGTGAGCTCCTGTTCTCTGGAAGTCAGCTGTAACTGAGCTCTAAGAAGAAAATCAGTGTTTTATTTCCTCTTCATCACAGAGAAAACACAGTTCATTCAGAATCAATTATCACCAATTAAACCTTCATTTCCTCGGCTGTTTACTTTGCAGTTGAGCCAAATCTCCAAGCTTGTATGTCCTCACCGTGGCTGTGGGATGGAAAACCTGTATCTCCCAAACATAGACTGTTGAGGAGAAACTGCAGTCGAGCTGCAGCTGATGATTATTTTCATTATTGATGAATCTTCCTATTATTCTTCTTGATGAAGTGAATTAATGTGCAGGTTTTAACAAACAACAGCCCAAAGAGATGTGATTATTATTATAACGTCTTTGAGATGCAGAAATGTCGAGCAGCAGCAGTTCAAACATTCAGCTTACTATGGATTATGATGAAGAAAAGTATAAAGTTAAATTATTTAAGATATATCACAGTCGTCATCGGCCACGGACAGAATAATGAAAAGATGAGGTTCACCCAGAGCTCAGACACACCCACCGACACACTGTCCCTCAGGGAGTGATAACCTGAGAGAGAAGAAGAAGAAGAGAGGGAGGACGCCTCAGATCACACAGATACATCAACCTCCACCACGCCGCACGTATTCAGCCCTCACACATCTTTAGAAAGTCACATCACACTCTGATCATCAATTATTTTCATTATTTATCTGTTAATTATCTTCTTCATGAATCATTTGGTCTATAAAACATCACAAAGTCATCATTTCTAGAAGCCCAAGTTGACATTTTCAAATTGTTTGATTTCTCCAAACTTCAGTCCCAAACCTAAACATGTATTTGCAGACACACTTTCTGATTGACTAATTGATAATTGATCTAATTGTTAGAAAGCTCCTCACTCGTCTGTCCAGGAGCGGGTGGGTTTGGGTTTGGGTTTGGGTTTGGTCTCTGGACGTCTGTTAATCCTGTTTCAGCCTCCTCCCGTGTCGTTACTTAATCTGACGGCGTTTGAACGTGTCGGTCTCGTGTCTGGAAAAAGCAGCAGAGTCACTTTTTTACTGTCGCACCTGAAACTTTTCTGTAACGCTGTCAAGTCTTTCAACAAACACAGGCCACTGATTAAATCACAAACTATGAAACACTGAAAGACTTGAAGTTGTTGAAGTGACTCGTCTCCGATCAGAAAATGTTAAAAGCACAGTAACAATCCGACCATAATAATCTCTCCTGTATTTCAGTGTTGAGTCGCCTCAGCTGTTTGGACAGTATTAATGAAAACTTCAGCTGTGTTTGCTCTGGAATAACAGCGCCCCCTGTCTGTGCTGCTCGATCTGTTGTGATTATTTATTATGTCACAAATAATGATTTAATAAAAGCTGAAAACCAACAACAACAGGAGCTTTGACACGGGGCGTCCTCTGTATTATTGGATCTTGTTTTATAGACACAGTTTTGACTCTGCAGCTCTTGATCCGTTCAGTTCGTGTTGAACACGTTTCACAACTCTGGAAGATCTGAACTGAGATATCTGATTGGCTTTCATTCCCGAGTAGTTTTCTTGCTGAACTGCCTGTAGGAAAAACAAAAACCAGGCCCGCCGGGCATTATGGGAATTGTGAGCGATGAGTGAATTACAAGCTCAGAGCGTATCTCGACCAATCGGGTTGTTGGTCTGAAATAAGAGTTTTGTCTCCTGACAGAAGCAGAGAATAAATAACTGAATGAATGACGGGAGGAAGCGCTGAGCTCAACTGTTTAGACTGTTATCTGAGTGTGTGTGTGTGTGTGTGTGTGTGTTCCAGTTATAAGTGAAAACAGCTGACTGCACGCTCTTATTGTCTTGACAACAATTTGATTATGGTGAGGAGTTTTTTTTATGACTGACTGTTTCTGTGTGACTTCCCTGGTTTTGAATAGACTGTTGTGTCGCTGCACTGCTGTGCACAGACGACCTGACAGGCCGAGCACCTGCGGGGCTGGGTTCAGGGTACGATTCCCCCTCGGGCATCAATAATGTCTGTGATAATTCACACCAAGGTGTTCCAATATAAGGAAATAATGCATAACGTGGAGGAGACATCTGCAAGTCGATTACTGTCTTTGTGAGGTACACATGTCCCTGAGGGAGTCTAGACGTCCTTGAGGAGTTTTCAGATGGGGTTCTATTGGTTCTAAAGGTGGCAGAAGTCTTGAAGGACGTTGATGGTTCCTAGAGATCCTGGACGAGGTTGTAGAGGTCTTTGAAATGGTTCAAAAGGTCCTTAAGGGTGTTGACTCCTCAAACAGGCTCCAGAGGTAACTGAAGGGGTTGTATGGGTCCTGGAGGAAGCCTAGAGGTCCTTGAAGAGGTTCCAGACATATCTTGAGAGAGATGTCGTTGAGGAAGTTGTGGTGGTGCTTCAGGATGTTGTAAGTGTCCTGGAGGAGTTTCTAAAGAGTCCTTTAAAAGGTTCTTGAGTTCCTTGAGGAGGCTGCAGGAATCCTTGAAGTGGTTGTAAAGGTCTTCAGGGAGGTTCGAGCGGTCCTTCAGACTTACTTTGAGGAGGTTCTACGGGTCTGAAGAGTTACAATGATCCTTGGTCCTTGAGTAAATTAAGAATCAGCATGAAGCATTAGCACTGTTGCTATGGTTACCTGCAGTTTACTGTAGTTTTTGTTGGCGTCCTGCTGTTGCACTGATAATGTAAAATATAATTTCTCTCTCTCTGATTGGTCAACAGACCTCAGTGATTATAATCTGCACATTCAGCAGCTTTTCTTGGCTCCTGTCCGTGATTTGAGTGATTAGTCATCAAAGCAGAAACTGAGTGTGTGTGTGTGTGTGTGTGTGTGTGTGTGTATGTGTGTGTGTGTGTGTGTGTGTGTGTGTGTGTGTGTGTGTGTGTCAGGTGGCTACTGTTGGTTTGTTGTTTGTTCTGGATCTTAAAACTCTTTATTTTTGAGCTTAAGCTGCAGTAAAATGATCAAACGCTGATTGTTGTGACTGCAGAAAGATTTGACCTTCAGTCTGCCAACAGAGTGTGTGTGTGTGTGTGTGTGTGTGTTTGTGTGTGTGTGTGTGTGTGTTTCAGCACTGTTCCCATCGAGTTTGACTTTTCGGGAAGACCTTGGCAGTGTGTGTGTGTGCTTGTGTTTGTGTCTCTACGTGTGTGTGTGTGTGTGTGTTTCTTTGGAAGCAGCTAACTGAAACCATACACTGAAAATAAAGAAGGTGCTGGAGCCTCGTGGTAACCATGGCAACAGTATTAGCATACTGAGCTGAACCGTATTGACTGGAAACTACGACAACAATCAGCCAGATTCTAAATACACAAAAAGTGAACTGAGATGTGGGGTTTCCCTTTAGGGGGGTGGGGTGGGGGGGTGCATGTTAAAATAATCCCACTTATTATTGTTGTTAGTTTTTGTTGGTCATAAGTTCAGGGATTCACTGAAGCGTCCGTCCAGTCCTCAGTCACAGATGTCATGTCCGCAGCAGGAGGACAAACTGTGCTCACCAGGCGGCATGGACGGATTAAGAGACAATGGGCCCCTGGGCACAGACATGTAAAAGGGCCCCCACCCCTCCTATATCGGAAAAAGACATCCAGACTGAAAGAGAAAGGGTTAGTTTTCGTCTCTCTTTGCGTTCGTTCCGTTTCTCTCTGTGACTTTCCACGCACACAAGCGTTGGCATTTCATTTATAGGAAGTCAAGTTGTCTGAAGTCAGAACACATGCTGTGCGTAGCGCCTCATGTCGCAAATACAGAGCGCACCAAGATCTGACCAATCATTGGCCCCCAGTTTGTTGAGGGGCCGTCCTGTACTGTGTCACTGTTGCTCTGATGCTCCAGGTGTTTTTCTTTACCATGTTTACAATATGTAAAAGGACAACAGTCTCGCTAGTGGCGCTTCTCTTCTGTTGGTCTTGCAAATACAGCTCCAAGGAAAGGGGAAAGGTCCTGATCCGTCCTCCGTCCTAAAGACTGAAAAGGAAAGACATTTAACTTTCAGCCGTTTAGTGGGGACTGTCTGCTGAGAGTGTACATGAACATACCTGGTTATACACCTGGTTGAAACAAGTTTAAAGTTTCAGGGTACGTGACTGAAAAGAGACTGAACAGAAACTGAAGTGTAAACCTTTTCATTTTTATATCTATTGGTTTTGGCTGCACTGATGTATTCGCTTCAGTGCTGAAATGTGATTAGTCAGTGATGCATCATAAATATCAACAGCTTTGATGGGTTGGGACTTTGTCCAGATGCTCAGCAGCAGCAGGCAGGTGTGGTCCTGCAACACCTGGACTCTGACTGAACTCGCA